TTCTCACTGGCCCTAATCCTCTTACATAATTTGTGCTTTAAGTTATCATACCATGAGAATCATTCTGTTTGTGTTGTGTTCAGTTGTAAAATGTTATTTTTTGTCACTAGATGGCAGTAATGTCTCACAACAAACCACTGATACTCTGATATCGTAGCAGCTCCCAGGGTGTCAGTCTGATCTCTTCTAGTCAAAAGTCTTTATTTAAGGTCAAACTGTGAGCAGAATTTACATCTGAATCGTCCTGTTCACTCTCTAAAAGCTCCCACATATATAAACTTGTTGTGGCTGATGTGTCCACAGGAGAGCTGATCAACCTGGCCATGTTCTGTGAGCGGATGCGGAGGAGATTCTGGCCCGAGTGGTTTGTGGAGGTGGAGGATCTTTATTACGAYGGCGACAGTGGGAGCAGCAGCCGCACCGGGACCCCCGCAGGACTGCTGGACTTTGACCTCTTCTCTAGGACTGACACTCTGGACGACAGCGAGAGCAGCAACCCCTCAGCCAAACACACGCGCACCCCGGACTCCGACCACTCGCTCTTTGACTCGGACGTGGACACGGGCTCTGAGAACGACATTCACCTTAAAGACGAGTTCATGCCAGACTTGGAGGTTTGACGACAACAACTTGCTCACGTGGAGAAACGTTTCCAGCTTCTCCAGTTACCGAACCGAGCATGTGACACCTCCCCAACATCCAGACCGGGTGTTTATATGCAGAGGAGACAAAATGGACTTCACATTAAACATACTGTACGGTTTGTTCCCTCCTGTCTCATCAGAAGTGTCCACCTGGCAGTTCCTCTTTGCCTTATTTGTCTCAGACACAGCAGTTGTCGTGAAGTTACCCAAACTGATCGTCTGATCTCGTAAAAAAATAAATAAATAAAAAATAAAAATAAAAAGCAGCGTTGCAGACGGGACAGGTGGCACTTCACTTGCTATGAAATGATGCAACTAATCACCATWCTGCCGTGTGTCGGAACTCATAAATCCATTCAAACAGGTGGAGATTGATCACGTGCTTCAAAAGGAACAGCTGCTGCGTCTCCGCTGTTTATCTTCTGTGATGCTGAGCATTGAACACCGATGACACGGAGCGTCTCTTCATCTCCTGCATCAGTCCTCGTGTTGTTTCCTGTYCGCTGCTGGATGAAGGACTCAATCATCTACTGTAAAAGTCAGATTCACCCGTTGGTTTGTTGAAAGAAGATTAGGAGGAATGATTAGCAGATTTGTGCCTGTTTTATTTGACAGTTATCATTTATGTCATTTTTTTAACTAAGTAATTAACTGCTTTTACTTGAGASTAGAGTTTTTCATACGTTCAGCATCCCTCAGGTGCTATAATAGAGCTGCAGTTCTTACATTCCACCACTAGATGGAGACAACAGTCAGCATGATGTCCTGATTCTGTTTGAAGCAACCACACATTTTTGCTTCATTCCTCCATAATAATAATAATAATAATAATAATAACCAACCATAGGTGACCTGTTATGCAATGCAGTTTTCATTTATTTACATGTGGAAGTGAACAAATCAGCCTCAGTGCTCAGAATATTTTAAAAAATGCTCCTTTTTTTGGTTCCGATATAATTTCAGTGCCATGTTATTATTTTTCTATTATGAGTTTATGTGTCAAAAATATATATATTTTTGTTAATATTTGTTTTTTATTGCTCTCAAAGAGAGGCATTACTGTGCACTAGTGCAGATTTATTTTTCACCTTCTGTGAAAAGCAGTAAAGGTACAAATCAGGCTAAATGAGATGGAAACGCAGACATAGAGAAGGACTCCTGACGTAATGCTGCCATGTTGACTGTGTGTGTGAATGTTCCTGTGTGTGAATGTCACCAGTGAGGCTGTTCAACAAAACGTCTTTGCAGTCAGAATCAACGAAACAAGAACAGCTGATTGTTGGATTACAAAAACACACAAACCAGAACTGAGGGATGTCACTGTAGTAGAGAGGACATGAGGTGGCTGTAAAAAGAAGTAGAGTGAATGTTAAAGTGATGATTTATGCTGGTGATGCGTTTCTTACAGTTGGAGGTATCCAGCCCCTCAGTAGATATGAATGGAATTGTATTTGAGCTGCTGGACGTTTCTGTGTGTACCTGCAGCTGGGAGTGATTAATATCAAGCTGTCAACAGGTGGGAAAAAATGATTATGATTTGGACTATGAGAAAACAATATGGAACATTTCTATAAGATTATCTAAGACTGTTTTCTTTGCAATGTTTTTTTTTTAATGTAAGTTAAATTTTGTCCATTTTGAAGTGGTGTTCTGTGTGAACATCATGAAGAAACAATATTTGAGCAGTTCCTTGTAGCCTCAGTTTGGAGAAACGGTGTACATCTGACAGGACTGACGAGCTGACARCTAGTCTGAGTGCAGYTGAAATGGAACCGTTCTGCCTTAAAATCATTAAATTTCAGAATTGTTTAAACAGCATTTTGTTAAACCTTCACACCACTGTAAGTTCTGCGTTAAATGATCATAATTGAGGAAAGACTGTATGATGAAATCCCCGCTGGTATTGACTCAAGGATTCATCAGAAGTTCTGCTGCCGATATCTGCACTTGCAAACAACCAAACAGCTGACTATAAATAACGATGCTGTGTGAAACTGACAGAGCTGTAATGATTTATGAAATAATGTTTGTGGGAACAACTAAAACTTAGGAGATTTAAGCCTCCTGTTGTGTTGGTTTCTGAGGAACAGCAGTAATGTTCCTGTGTCAGTTTGACCCGGGGTGTGTTTAATCATGCAAACCGAACAAAATCCCCAAAACATTATTGTATCTAATAACATTTGTGCATTGATGTTTTTTTATGTCTCACAGATAAAGGATCAATGAGGACAATTCACTCCTTTTGCATAAAAAATGCACATTACATTTTTTTATATCCACTGAAAACACACACACACACACACACACACACACACACACACACACA